GTGGTTGGGATAGATATATAGTTGCATTCTCTTAATGAATAGAATGATTTGTTCTAATGGTGTTTGTAAATAGGATCACAAGTCCACTTCTTGTACAGCAATTATCCTCTGAGAAGAATATATGCAGTGTATTATTTGTTGAAACTATACTTCCGATTAGATTTGAAACTGTCTCATTGCTATCTGTTTGTCAATAAAACTTTGAAAATAAAAAACAAATGCAGAAACGTGGAGGAAACCCAAAGCCCACCTAGAACAAGTACAGAGGACACTAGCTCGGCTCAAATGTATGAGTTAATAGAGTTGATACTAAATTAGCAACAGTAGAAAGTCATAGAGGAACTCAGAGTGGAATTCTTCTCTACAAGCTCAGGTCAAATGTATGAATTAATACCATTGATAGGAAATCAGCAACAGAAAATGTTATGGAGGAACTCAGAGCGGAGTGTTCTGAAATAAGAAAAGAATTCTAGGGACTCATACCATTTGAAGTAAAGAATCAACTACAAAAACAGGGAGGAAACCCAGTCTGAAAAAAAAAAAACACTGCAGTAAAAGAATTAGTAGCTGATTCTAAAAAAGACATTGATTAAAAAAAATAGAGATTAGAAAAATGAAGGATTCCTTGAATGAACAATACAGGAAAGACATAGATCGCATGAAACAGAGTCAAAGAGATAAAGAGGAAATTAAAATCTCAATCACAAGCTTGCAAAACTGTTTAAGTGAAAGTGAAGACAGAGTTTCAGACATTGAAGATGCTGGTGAAGCTAGTGAAAAAGTGAGAAAGGATCTCTTAAAAAAAACTAGGATGCAGGAAAAAATAATCCGTTACCTGCAAGATGATGCAAAGATGAACAATGTGAGACTAATACACATCAATGAGAAAGAAGGAGTCAATACAAATGAAATGAAAAAATTATGGGCAGAAGTAAAAGCAGAAAACATCTCAAATATGAGGAAACAATCGGACATTCAGGAAACTGAAGCATACAGAACGCCAACTAACCTCAACACAATGAAAGCACAACAAGACATATAATAGTCAAGATCCTGGAAATTCAGCACAAGAATAATATACTGAAAGCCACTAGAGAAAAGAAGCAGATCACATTCAAAGGAAAACCCATCAGAATTATGGCTGACATTTCTTCACAAACCATGAAGGCAAGAAGAGCATGGATCAGAGTACTTCAAGTCCTCTATGAAAACAATTTCCAGCCCAAACTACTATACACAGCAAAACTGTCTTTCAAGTTGGATGGAGAAGTGAAATACTTTCCTGACAAAAAACATCTGAAGAATTTCATGATGAAAAAGCCAAACCTACACAGGCTACTGAAGGATGATTTAGAGAGGGACCAAAATGATCAGAACTCCAAGAATGAGATCAGAAGCAACTAACTAAACAGGGAAAGCAATTAAACACAGGAGAAAAAGAGTAAAGGAAAATTCAACAACATCTCATTTGTAAGTCAACAAATCTCAGTTATAACCATCAACATAAATGGACTCAATTCACCAATTAAGAGAAATAGACTGGCACAGTGGATTAGGAAACAAAATTCAACAGTATGTTGTATACAAAAAAAAATTAACTCATAAAGACATTCATAGGCTGAAAGTCAAAAGATGGAAAATAATATTACATGCCCAAGAACCTCAGAACAAAGCAGGGGTAGCAATCCTATTCTCAGACAGTTTCAATTTCAAACCAAGAATGATCAAGTGAAATAAAGAAGGCCACTTTATACTTATTAGGGGAAACTTTCAAGAGGAAGATTTAACAAACATAAATATGTATGCACCAAACATGAGAACACACAACTATATAGAGTAAATCTTAATGGACATGAAAAATCTAATTTCCAATATGACAATCTTAACAGGAGAACTTAACACCCACTTATCCCAAAAAGATAGGTCAACCAGAAAAAAATTAGCAAAGAAATAACAGAACTGAAGCAGAGCTTGAAAGAAATGGACCTGGTGGACATATACAGAGTGTTCCCCCCAAGCACAGCTCAATAAACATTTTTCTCAGCTAAACGTGGATCATTTTCTATATCTGACCACATACTGGTCCATAGGTCATTCTTAAGTATATGGAAGAAAACAAATTATCCCATACATATTATCTGACCACAGTGCAATGAAACTGGAAATAAATGATGAAAGAAAAAGAAAAAAATCCCTAAATACAAGGAAATTAAATGAAACCCTATTTAGCAACCAATGGGTCACAGATGAAATTAAACAAGAAATTCAACAATATCTAAAATTCAAGGAAAATTCAAGCACAAATTATCGGAATAAATGGGATAGTATGAAAGCAATTCTCAGAGGGAAATTCATAGCTGTGAACTCACGTATTAAGAAAACAGAACGGAAACAAATAAATACCCTAATGCTGCACCTTCAACAACTAGAAAAGGAAGAGCAAACCCAACCCATGGCTCAAAGACAGAAAAAAATCAAATAGATCAGAGCAGAAACTGTTTCAATTGAGACGAAGAAAACAATTCAAAGAATGAACGAAGGAATAAGCTGGTTCTTTGAAAGATTAAATAAAACCAATAAGCCCCAAGCTAACCTCATTACAAAAAGGAAATAAAAAACTTAAATGCAAGCAATAAAGAAAGAAAAGGGTCTAATTCCACACACGAGTGGAAATTCAGAAAATTATCAATAGCTACTTCAAGAATCTTTATTCTCACAGAAGGAAGACACAGATGAAATGGACAGTTTCCTAGAAAGGTACATATTACCACAACTGAATCTTCAAGATATAATCACTCTCAGTAACCTAATAACAGCCAATGAAATACTAGATGTAATTAAAAACCTACCGACAAAGAAAAGTCCAGGTCTGAATGGATTCACAGCTGAATTCTACAAGAAATTTACCAAAGGTATAATCCCTATACTCGTCAAAATCTTCAATGAAATTGAAAAGGAAGCAATCCTCCCAAAATCATTCCTGGAGGCAAGTATTATACTAATACCAAAACTAGGGAAAGACGCAACTAAGAAAGAGAACTACAGGCTAATCTCCCTCATGAACATAGATGCCAAAATCCTCCATAAAATTTTAGCAAATAGAATACAGCAAATCATCTAGAAGCTCATATATCATGAAAAGGTAGAATTCATCCCAGGGATACAAGGATTGTTCAATATTCAAAAATCTATATAATGTAATACACTATAATAATAGAGTGAAAACTAAAAACCACATGATCATCTCCATTGATGCAGAAAAGGCTTTTGACTAAGTCCAACACTCATACATGTTCAAAGTCGCACAGAATATTGGAATAGAAGGCTTCTACTTCAATCTGGTAAAAGCCATGTATGAAAATCCAATGGCTAACATAATTCTTTTTTTGTCCATTTTTGTCTTTATTTTGGGAAAGTGCTTACACATAAAATTCATAAAATCTTCACAAATATATTTAGCAACAACCATAACATCCATTTCAAAAGTGTGGAAAAAGAATTTCACAAGTTTCAACAAAAGCAATTAATACTAGGAGAGCTAATGATTTTACATGATTTAAACATTGTACTATGCATACATGAAACACAACGAGTTACAACTTTAAGAGGTTGAACTGTTGCTTGTGTATGAACAGGCTGAAACTGATATTTTTTTTTAAAAAAGACATTTAACATAAATAGAACATTAAAAATGCAAGCGTTCCTATACAACTGATCCAATGTATATGGTTCTAGCATGCACAAGAACAGAGCATAAAACTAGCAGGATGTACTTAGTGGGGGATTAGAGTGAGAAGACACTGCCCATATATTTTCAAAACTCCTAGAAAACCACAATAATTAAGCTCTGTTGTAGTGACGTCTGAAAAGACATCAGATCCTGTAGGGCTGCTTTGTCTGGCCCTTATCTCTGTATACAGCTTTAGAATGCTGCAGGCTGGTGTTGGGCAAGGCAGGCCAGGTCAGAGCAGAGTAATGGGTGCTTGTGGGCAAAAGGGCCATCTCTCGGGGGTATGTGGTCCAGCCAGAAAGTACTGATTAGAATTCCTGTCCTCACCTCCACTCCTTTCTACTGAGAGAAAGAGGTAGAAAGGAAGGATGGAAAAAGAGGGACACAAGATGGTACTATGAGGGTAGTGCTTGGCCTTGGCTGGGGAGTCCTGGCATTGCAAGGGCCTTGTCTAACAGTGCCTAAGAGGAGGAGAAGAAGAGAAGGACAGGTTCATGCCCTCGTCTTCATCTTCACTGCTGCAGTCTGAGGCGCTGCCGTCTCCTTCCACGGGTTCCTTCCTGGTTCTTTGGGATCCGGGTGGGTGGGGATGGCAGCTGGACACCGCACCAGGGGCACCCGTGCCTGGAGCCTGCAGCTTGTTCTCCTGGCCTGGTCCTGCCTGCACAATCATGGCTGGTGAGGGCGGCAGGTCTCTCCTGCTGAACCTGGGGTTTGGGTCTCCAGGCAAGGTCACGATCTTGCCCTTCCCAGAGCTTCTCTTTTTGTATGCGGCACACTCCTCAGGAGACAGACCCTTGAACCAGAGGTCCAGGTCCACCCAGTACTGTCTCTGCAGCTCCTCCACCTGCTGCCTGTACTGTTCCTTCAGGGCTGGGGGCACACGGTGCCAGCGCCTGCTGATCTCCACCCTGCGCTCCTGGGGGGACAAGTATTCCAACTCCTCCCTTGACCACCAGTCGTCATGAAATTTATTATATCCCGTCATGGGGGGCTTCGGGGGCTCTCCATGAAATTTCACATACTTGCCAAATTCATCGGTCTTGGACGGAGGCCTCACGCTTTGCACACTGTCTTGGGCATTCTTTGGAGCTTTTCTTGGGCGCCTCTTGCCCCCACCAGACTTTTTGCAGATCTGGACCTGATCAGGGTGTTTTTGCCAAAGTTGAGAGACTTTTTCTTTAAATTCCTGCTTGTCCTTCCAGTATTCCTCAGTGTATTTCTTCTTCACCTTCTGTGGGAGCTGCCTGTACTTCTGAGCTAGAATCTTTGCCAGCTTGTAATTGTTCATCTGAGGGTACTATTGGGAATAATGGAGCCTCTGCTCCTTGTAAAATCAGAAATAAGCAGTCAAGGGCCTTTTGGGGAAGTCAGGGTGCTTCTGGGATTCACTGTTTCTACTGTGACTGCAAACCAGTTTTCTGGCTTCCCGCACCACTTCTGCCAGCGGCTGGAATTTCCCTAATTTGGAACAAATCTCTGTCCACTTGAGTTTGCACATTTCCCCAGAGAAGCCTTGAAACGCTATTTTCTCCCAGTCTGGCTGTGACTCGTCTGCTTCGGACCTTGGGTTGTCACCTGACAGGAGGTTATTCTCAATGCGCTGCAGTAACCTGCACACGTCCTCCTTGGACCAGTGGCCTTGGCTAGGAGGCAGATCCATCTCAAGCTTGGGGCTGGGACACTGTCAGGGGCTCAGTGGTGCAGTGACCTCCACAAGGACCAACTTCCTCCTTCGTTTCTTACAGGAAATTCCCTGCTCCTGGGTGCAGGGTCTCTGTGTCCTCAGGTGGCTGAAGCAAGCAAGGCGCCCCAGTGCAGCCTCCTCCAGGTTCCTGCGGTGAACAGACTTTGTGGCGGGCAGCACCTCAGGCACCTTTCTCAAGCCACACCTACCACCATCCAAAGTGGCAAGAGGCAAGGATTCGGCCTCCCACAGCCTGCAGAGGCAGTGGTGCCGCTGGCACTTGCACGGGAGCTGCCAGCCTGCACAGCATCACAGAATGCACTGGCCTTACGCTATGTGCTTTGTGGCAATGTGTTATGAGCCCTCGATCACCATACAGCGATCCATGTGGTGGGAATGGCTTCCTCCAGCCTGTTTTCTGTGCTTCTAAGGAATACTCAGAACCTCAAGCAGGAGGAGCACAGTTGTAGAACTTGGATCTAATGCTGGTGCAGAGCAGAGCGCCTTCTCTGGAGATGCACTGCAGAGCTGGGGCACATAATTCTAAATGGGGAAAATCTGAAAATTTTTACTCTTAGATCTGGTCCAAGACAAGGATGTACTCTATCACCACTCCTATTCAATATCGTTCTGGAATCATTATCAACAGCAATTAGAGAAGAGAAAGAAATAAAAGGAAACAGAATAGGTAAAGAAGAAGTTAAATTACCATTATTTGCAGATGACATGATGCTTTACTTGGAAGACCCAAAAAATTCCTCCAAGAAGGTACTAGAATTAATACAGAAATTCAGTAGCATAGCAGAATACAAAGTCAATACCCAAAAGTCAATAGCATTTTTCTACACAGATAACAAATACAGTGAGAGGGAAATAATAGAAACAATACCTTTACAATAGCGCCGAGGAAAATGAAATACCTTGGAATTTATCTTACTAAAGAAGTCAAAGATCTTTTCATGGAAAATTACAGTACACTTAAAAAAGAGATCATAGAGTATTTCAGAAAATGAAAACATATTCCATGGTCCTGGATAGGAAGAACAAACTTTGTGACGATGGTCATACTCCGGAAATCGCTATAGAGATTTAATGCAATTCCTATGAAACTACCACAAACATAACTCACAAAGCTAGAGAAATTATTGCTAAAATTTAATTGGAACCAGAAAAGAGGTAGAAGAGTAAAGGCAATCCTGGGCAATAAGGACGCAGGAGACATTACTATTCCTGACTTGAATTTATACTTAAAGCCTACTGTAATAAAATCAGCATGGTACTGGCAACAAAAGAGACCTGAGGATCAATGGAATAGATTAAAAAATGCTGAATCCTCTACGAACACACTCAACCACCTTATTTTTGACAAAGGGGCCAAACATAGTCACTGGAAGAAAGATAGCCTCTTTAACAAATGGTGTTGGAAAAACTGGTTCTCTACATGCAGAAAAATAAATTTGACCCAGGTCTATCACCATGCACTAAGCTAAAGTCAAAATGGACTAAAGATCTAAACATTAAAGAAGAGACAATAAATCTCCTGGAAGAGAAATAAGGAGGAACTCCTGAAAACATAGGCGTAGGCAAAGACTTCATGAACACAAATAAAATCTCATGGGAAACACTTGAAAGAATTAATGATTGGGACCTACTCTTGCTGAGAATTTTTTGCACATCAAAAGAAATTACCAACAAAGTGAAAAGACAACCCACAAATTTGGAAAAATTATGACAAGTAAGTACTCAGACAAATGTCTGCAATCTAGAATTTATAAAGAACTAAAAAACAGTAGGGCCCCAAAATTTAAAGACCCAGTCCAGAAGTGGGCATCTGAGATGAACACACACTTCTCAGAGGATGAAATCAAAGAAGTGAATAAATATATGAAAAAAATGCTCCACATCACTAGCCATCCCGGAAATGCAAACTAAAACAAAATTGAGATATCATCTCACCCCAGAAAGAATTTCTATCATCAAGAAATCACCAAACAACAAATGTTGCAGAGGCTGTGGGGATAAAGGCACACTTCTCCACTGTTGGTGGGAAAGCAGACGGGTGCAACCATTATGGAAATCAGTGTGGAGACTCCTTAGAAAAGTTGGCTTGGAAATCCCATTTAAACCAGCTATTCTATTCCTCCACTGGGAAGTTTCCTGGAGGATATGAAAACATTATACCGTAGTGATATATGTGAGCCTATGTTTATAGCAGCACAATTTGTGATACTCAAATCTTGGAAACAACAGGACAGTTGCTGCTATGATGTCTCTCATGTAGATATTTGTTCAAAAAGAATGGGGTAGTGAATGAAAGCAAAAGACAGAAAAATGAATACTGTGGTACTGTCCTGCTTCAAGGTTCTATATGGTGAGATATTTGGACTTATGTGTTAAGCATAAGAAATATATAATCATTTATGCCTATTTTTAAAATATATTCTAATTTTAAATACTTGTATTATATTCTGTAGGGACTTAAAGTTCAACGTATCAATACTTGATGAAAAATACCTGTTCCATATTATGCCTAAGATGTTTGATATGCAGACAGATAGTGACGCTAAGCTTAACTGGCTAAGTTGTATGGTAATAACAATAAGCTTGTCTTCAGGACGGTTAACAATCTAAGTTTGCAGACCAAAATTAGAGAAAAAGGAGGGCTACAAGGAAAGCCAACATTTTGGTCCTATCCTTCCAAGGTCAATTAAGACTCAGGACATATGTGAACTTGTACTGTAATGTCATATAAGTTGGTAATGTCCCAAATTTTCTGATCAAGGAGATTATGGGGCCAAAGAGGAAAGTGATTGATGATGTAGAGTGTGCCTAAGGAGAGTCCCATGGAGAGAAAACATTCTCTCAGGCTTTCACAGACATGACATTGTCCAAGCAATGGCTGTGACTCATCCACATGGCTGACACTGACAAAGGTTCTACAATCTGAGGTACAGGATCTCAGGATAAATCCTGATGGGATTTCATTGACCTTATCTGATCCAAAAGCTACAACTCTTGTTGCATAGATCCTGCGTTACCTTGATCTTAACCATCCAGCAGAAAAGTATAATAACGAAATATAAGAAGTAATGCCATGCTGTTATGTTGAGCTGTAGGGGACTCAGTTCAACAATCCCTGACATTGCCAGTCAAGCAGAAGACCCAATACTATTATGGGATACTGTACTCTTTTAGAAAATTTTACTGAGTTTACACACCTATAATATTCAAATAATGGAACATAACAAAAATGGTATGCAGATGAATGTCCATTTTGTATCTGTATATTCAAAGTGGTTAGGATAGATATATAGTTACCTTCTCTTAACGAATACAGTGATCTGTTCTAATGGTGTTTGTAAATTTGATATCATGTCTACATCTTGCACAGCAATTAACCTCTAGGAAGAATATATGCAATGTGCTAATTATTGAAACTTTTCTACCATTTTGACTTGAAACTGTCTCACTGCTATTTGTTTATCAATAAAATTATGGGAAAAAAATTGGGAAACAACCAAGATGCCCATCACATGAGGAATGAAATTATAAGATGTGGTATTTTTATACAGTGGCGTATTACTCAGCTATAAGGAATGATAAGCTCAAAGCCTTTATATTGAAGTGGATGAAATTTGAGGATACACTCACAAGTGAAATAAACCGGACACACATATGTGAATATCATATAATTTCCCTAGTATAAGAACTCAAATGAAGAAATACAAATAGAAAGGTATAATACAAGTAAAAGGAAAGCAGGTACTCCAGGACAAACTAATTAAGAGAGGGAAAGGAGAGGAACTAGGAAACATGACAGTGACAAGCAATATATTTATATATTGAAGATGGGTAAGGCAATGATCCTGAGAATCTTCACAAGATTTTTGAATCTAGCAGTTAATTTTAAAGATTCTCACCATGACTAACTATATACACTGAAACCTATGAACTAAGCAACTGCACTAAAGATGAAAATTTGTAATAGTAGGTTCATGCTTGGAGTGCCTGTCATTCTGGTTTTCTGAATACAGGCTGCATCACGACATGCCAGTTACTTCTGTGCTGTCTCTCAGTATATGCTTGTTCAAGAAGAAGGAGGTGGTGAATGAAGGCAAGAGACAAAAAAGGCATGTTGTGTGACTGTCCTGCTTCAAGGTTGTATATGGTTATATTTCTGGACATATATGTAAACATAAAAATTATATAATTCTTTATGCCTATTTTTAAAATATATTCTAATTTTTAAATGTTTTTATCATATTCTGTAGGGACTTAAAGTTAAACATATCAATTCTTAATGAAAAATACCTGTTCTATGTTATGCCTAAGATGTTTGATATCCAGACATATAGAGAGGTTAACCTTAACAGCCTAGGTTGTATGGTAATAAGAATAAGCTTCTCTTCTGCAGGGTTAACAGCCTAAGTTTTCAGACCAAAATTAGATGAAAAGGAGGGTCACAAGAAAAGCCAACATTTTGGCCCTAGTCTTCCAATGTCACTTAAGACTCAGGACATATGAGAACTTGTACTGTAACGTCATGTACCTCGGTAGTGTCCCAAATTTTCTGATCAAGGAGATTATGGGCCCAAAGAGAAAAT